TCTCGAGAGTTGTGCCCTACTATTGTATCTTTGGCCTCCTTACTACAACTACATCCTTATCTCCTTCATTTGAATAAGGGAGAAAATCCGAGGAATATTACTCTTCTATTACAAGAAACACAAATCTAAGATCAGCTAATTACAAATTAACTAAATAGCGTACTAATATTATTTTCATTAAAAAAATAATAAATTTAAATGGTAGACTTACCCTCATTCAAGCCACTTTATCCAACCTTCCTACCTACTTCTTGTCCTTATTCACCATCCCAACCAAAGTATCAAACGAGGGAGACCAAAATCTTGTTAGATGGGAACAAGTCCAGAAACCTGTGGAAGAAAGGGGGGCTAGGTCTCTTTCTGTATCAAGGATAAAAACAGGGCTCTACTTGCCAAATGGAATTGGAGATTCCTCACCGAAGAAAGCGCACTTTGGTGGAGAGTGGTTGTGGCCAAATATGCCATCACAGACCACCAAACCCACCTCCCCTGCTGGACCTCTACTTCTTCTAAAGGGCTTTGGAGAGACGTTGACAAACACAAGTCCCTGATTTTTGACAGAATTGCTTATAAGGTTGGTTCAGGATCCATTGCTAAATTTTGGAAAGATGTTTGGCTCGCTAATGAACCCCTCCGTAACTCTTTCCTTCTCCTTCTTACTTTGCACAACAAAAAATGGGGGGTTGTTCGTGATCTTTGGTCTCCCATTGATAGCTCATGGGACATAAACTTTCGAACAAATCTCAAGGAGGCAGAGATTGTGGAGCTGGCTTCTCTCTTGCACAAGCTCCTCATCTCACCTCTCAACCAATAGGGATGCTGTCATTTTGGAGTTCGGAATCATACGGTCATTTCAGCACCTCCTCCTCCCTCCTAAAACACCTACACCGATCAGATACAACAGTGGCATCCTTCTCTGTTTACAGCACTATCTGGAAGGATCACTACCCAAAGAAGATTAAGTTCTTTCTTTGGGAAACCAGCCTCCATGCTATCAACACACAAGACAAACTACAGAGAAGATTGCCCCATTTGTACATCTCCCCACACTGGTGTATCTTATGCAAGCAACATGGAGAATCCATTGGGCACATCTTTGTCTCTTGTAAACTGGCCTCTGAATTATGGAACAAACTCCTAATCAACTTCGGATGGTCGGTAGCTCTTCCATAGGATATCACCCAATTATTAGCTTATACTGGTCAACCTTTCAAAAAGGAAAAGTTGTCTTTGGCTCCATTTTGTCCGGGCTTTACTATGGACTGTTTGGCTAGAATGGAATCATCGAATTTTCCAAGGAAGGGAGCGCACAACGCATCATCTTTTTTATTCTATAGTTGGTTTGGTTGTTTCTGGGTGTAAATGCTCACCTCTCTTCAATCACTATAACTTTGTCTCTCTCTTATCTAATTAGAGAGCTTTCTTGTAGCCCTCGTATGGGTCTCTCCCCCTTTTTGTACTCATATTTCATATTATCAATGAAATAGTTTCTTTTAAAAAAAAAAATTATTTAATATTAATAAATAATAAAGAATTAAAATAAAATTACATCAACTAAAACATATTACTATAATTTTTATTAGAACCATCAATAATCTAAAATATTATTAATTTTTTTGTTATAATAATAAATAATAAGTAATTCTGTTTTAAGAATTTTACTGATATTAATTAATAAAAACAAAGTAAGATTAAATAATTGATAAATTAAATAAAGATTGTAATATTTTATAATAAAATTATGTCAACCAGTAAAAGTTGTATAACAGAAATTAAATAGAAACTGGCCTCCTCTCTCTCTGGTTTTCATATTTCAGCTGGTGGTGGTTTATTTCCTCCAAGATTTTCAATACATTCTTCAAAAGTGTCTGGTTTTTTATTGGTTCTCTCTAGAGTATGTTTTTGGTTCCATTTCTAGGGAAGTATTTATTTCATCCATCAAGCTTTCTTCAAGCCATAGGCTGCGTTCGTAGACTCTTCTTTTGACGTTCTTATGGTTCTCCAAGCTTTGTAGCATGGAGTTTGCAGTGTTCTTCAGCATTGCCCCTTGGATTATTGCTTTCTATATTTACTGTGTTTGTATTGCTCTTGTTGAGCTTTTTCTACAATATTTTTGTTCTTTCTCTTCATCTTTCACCCCTTTAGGGGTTTGTATCTTGAACCTCTTTCCTTTTCATATATCAATGAAAAGTTGTTTCTTGTTTAAAAAGCTAATAAAAGTTGTATAATTTTTTATTAGAAGAAAAATTATTAATAGTATAAATAAACAAAGAGAAAAATAAAAAATTAATTAAAAAGATATGAGTATCATAAATAGATTAGAAATGGTAAAAGTTGTAAAGTAATTATTGAAAAGGTGTTGAGCCAATAAGAAATGGGAATGAGATTAATGAGATTGTAGGAGAAGAATGAGATTACTCCTTTTTAGGTAGAGTGATTCCCAAGTTTTAGGTGGCCCTACCCATTGAATTCATTCCTACACTTTAGTAAACACCATTAGAATGAAACTTTCATTCTCATCAATCTCATCTCTTGAAGTAAACAGGGTCTAACATCGCATGCAAACTCAACCCCCTCCTCCAAGTGAGAACCCCCTACCCCTGACCCTAAACCCCCTTCCTTTTAACATATGAGCTATCGAAGAAGCTAACAGAATAGAGGATTTCAATAGGGCTACACAAGGTTGAGGGCCAGAATAACATTGTGGTAGAACAAAGCCAAATTCTAATTAACCACCCTCAAGCCATCTCGCTCATTTGCCTTTACACAATCGAAGAAGTTTCCTCTTCATCCCCTTGAAGGGCTCCAATGCAATGACACTAAATTAGGTCTACTATAGCCTCTTCGATCCATTGAAGTTGATTCCAAAGAATAAAAAGCTCAAAGCTTCAATTTTTCCTTTTTCCTTCTAACATAAATCCACCCTCAGACAATGTAAATAGCTTTTCACCTTTTCTCCACATAACAACTGCTTGAAACCATGATTAACGATGGCTGAAACACTCGGCTAAGAGAACCTAAAACTTTAACAAGAATCCTGCAAAAACTAGCATAAAGATAAGAACCTAGAAAGAGAAGAGTAGGGAGGAGAGAGCATTTTGTCCTATCCGATTACCTAGTATATTTTTTTCGATAGGAAACAATTTCATACCTATCCAATAAAGTTTCAAAAAGCTTCTCCAATTGGATATAAGAGAATATGTGCTATAGTTGTTAAAAGGATTGACATTTTTACACCATGAGAGTGCCAAAAATGAACTAGATTCTATCACATGTTGAGGAGAGTTTTCTTTGTCGTTGAAGGTTCAAGAATTTCTCACTTTCCCACTCATAAAATATTGATTCATATCATTTCTTACTCTACCATGAAAATAGATTAGCTCCAACTAAAACATAACATCCTAGGCAATGTTTTAAAAGGCTTTTGAGGCTTACGCCTTGAGGCCCGCCTCGAGGCAAGGCTCTAACTTTTAGCCTCGAGTCTTACGCCTTCTTTGGACTATAAGAGGCTTACGCCTCTTTGAAAACGCACAGAGGCTAAAAGTATACGCCTCGTGTAATGATTACAAAAATACTATAAAATTTTCTGCTTTTTTTGTATGGAATGCTAAGTAGGAGTTGTAACAGTTCAATCTATTACTACTTTTACTACCTAAACTTTAAAAATATTGAAGACAACAATTTATAGAATAAGTAAGTTCTATCGGTAATAATAGTAGTGATGTTAAAGATGTTTTTTTAGAATTTTTTTTGAGTGACAAGTAACAGGTGGATATTTTGATAATTTTTATATAACTATTATGTTTGGTAATACTTAACCACACAAATTTAGGATTTGTTTAATTCTTTTAATTAAAATTGAGGCTTACGCCTCGCCTTTTCAAGAGAAAAGGCCTCGAGGCTGCCTTTAGCCTTTTAAAACATTGATCCTAGGTTGATCTTTTATGTTCAAATCCCACTAGTTGTATATGTTGATAATACTTCATTAATGGAAATGATACATCAAGTATTCTATCACTTCGAACCTTATTTCATACAAAAGATTCGGGATGTTGACATAGAATTGTATGTAGAACAGATCTTGTTCAAGTAAGGATGTTGACATAGAATTGTATGATAAGAAGCAAGATGTGAGAGTCCTGTTAGGGTTAGTTAAGGAATGATATTAGTATATGGGTTTGGGGTAATACAGTAATTAGTTAGGGATAAGTTGGTTATAAATAAAGGTGGTAAGGGAAAAGGAAGTTATCTTTGGGAATAGTATTTTGTAGAGGAACTTGATAGAGTTCTTGGGAGAGAGATTGCCCTCTCGAAAGGGACGTTGTAGTTTCCCTTTGGATTTGCAATATAGTGTTCTTGTTAGGTTCTTGTATTTGGGATCCTAACACAAGAAGGGAATTCTTACTCTCTGTGTGCTTGACTTGTTATTTGAAATGGGAAAGTTACGGGCTATAGTATCCTTGATGAAGTGGTAAAAGGTAAAAGAAAGTTATTGTGCAAAGATGGTTCTTAAACTTAACAAATGTGGTGACATAACGCATATGTAAATTATTTAAAGATTTAATATTAAGCTTGTCATTAGGATCTCTTCCGGTAAATTGAATTTGGTTTCTTGAAAGACCATTGTCATGGAGAGGTACAATTCTCAAGCTTCCTAGCTGCTGGGTTTCTTCTTCCTATATCTATGTACCCTCTTTATAAATCTCACTTCTCTTTTGTACGCTCCTCAAACTGTCAGAATAAACTTCCAGCCCATTATCCAAACCCTAACTTATTACTAACCTTTCAGCACTTATTCATATGTCATACAAACTGGTCGCCTAGCAAATCTAAACAAACTGTAAAATTAATAGTAAGTTTAAGTTATACAACAGAAGTATGGTAACATCAAAGACAGTTGGGAATGTATATTTGCTAAAGAAAGGGAAGAATAGACTATGAAAATATTTATAATTCATGGACTGAACGGACAGGGAAACGAAGTTGGTTTGAAGAAGTACCTCCAAATTTCTAATCATTTGTTGGCCAAAGGCATCATCTGGATGAATCTGTTAAAAGATTGCAGTCGCAAGTTAACAAACCATTAAAAACAAAGCCATGTACCAGTGAGATACCAAGAATACAAATGAATTTAAAGGAAAGAAGTTCCACAGTAAATACAAGCATAAGAAACTTGTATGAGTTCAGATAAGTAAAACCTGCTCATATAAGAAAAATATTGCTGTTGAAAATGCTTTCGATGCCCAACCAACTATACCACGACTTGAATTTGGATCCAAGTATATCAAAACGCATTCTGCAATTATAAATGTCGGCAAACTGATAGCAATATCAGGATAAAAGATATTATTAATTTCCATGTGAAAGCTCTCCAATTAGAACAAATCAAGCTAGGGGAGTTCGTATTCCTTTTTAAGTTTTTGTTTTTTCCTATTCCTTTTCACTCTTTCAAGAGTTTGTATCCTTGGACATTATTGCTCCTTTTCATTATTTCAATGAGAAGTTTGTTTAAAAAAAATTAATTTCCATGTGAAGCCATGAAGTAAGGAAAATGTCGGATTTGTCTAATGTTCAATCCCACTCTTATAGTTCTCCAAAAGGCCTTTTTTTTTTACTATTTTGTGGGGTATTTGGCTTGAGAGGACCAATAGAACTTTTACGGAGTTGAGAGATATTGGGAGAATATTATGGAGATGATTAGATTTAATGCATTTTTGTGGGTATCTGGGGTCGGTCACAAAGGTTTTTTTTTAATTATCAGTTAGATGTGAATTGGGGTCCCTTCTTATAGCTGGTCCTCATTTTTTTTCTTGTGTGCCCATTGCATATTCTTTCATTTTATCTCAATGAAAGCTTGGTTTTTCAAAAAAAATCATCAAAAGGTCAACTTACCCATCCAAATATCCCCCCCCCCAACACACAAGAGCCCAGGCTCAGAGACACCATAACTTAAAAGATCGTAAGACTAACGAATTCAGAGATGAGTCAACATATCACAAGAACATTAAGCGAAAAATTTTCATGAATGAAATACAACAGTGCTAGGACAAAAATGAAGATTTGAAAATCACCTTAATGACCCAAAAATAGCGGAGGGTTAAACTATAATACTTCATAATAGGACTAAAAATGATATGTAATAATTTGAAATAATCTAGCAAATATTTAAGGATGTTTAAAGCACTCCAAAAACTAGACCACAAGGAAGAAAACCTTTTGCACTTCCATACCTGGGATCCATACCAGCAATAGCCAATACATCATTTAATTTATCAATATCACGCAGGTCAACAGGGAGTAGCTTGTAATGATCACTATGGACTTCTCCTTTTTCTGCAAAACAATGATAGATATGACAATTGAACGTACATGAATACATTTTGAGAAGCAGGAAAATGGCCAAAACACCATGTAGAATGTGTTTGCTACTGTTTTCAATCAAACAAAAATGTAATCGCAGACTAGACAACAAGGATCCAAATATCAATGGCTGGTACTTTTCTTTTTAACTAGGTGGGCCTCGAATCATCCCATCCATGGAGATTGTGTCACGTTTGATCGACCTGGTGGGCTAGGTATAGAGAATTCGAAACTTCATAATAAGACCCTAGTTGCAAAATAGTCATGGCAACTCCATTAGGAAACTGATGTTTTGCAGCATAGGATTATTGATGGCAACTAGCAAGTACAATTTTTTCCTCCCAAGTGGATCAAGTTGTGGTGTCAAAGACACTTGGAAACCTGGGGGAGTCCATAGTTTCGAGTTACACAATGTCCTTTAGTTTATTAAGCTATTGGAGATGGATCAATGATCCACTTTTAAGAGAAGTGTTTGGAGGGGGATAGCTTCTTTAGCCTTCTTTTCTCATCTTTACCATATACAAATTCGACTTTGGAAGCCCCTTGGGCTTTGTCTAACCGGGAGTCTTCTATCATTGCTTTCTTTAATGGCCGATTGTTACATTCACATTCAAACTTCTATGTGGCTAAAAAAATTACAAAATAAAAAATGAATTTTGTCAGTCAACTATATTGTTGCCATTTTTTGGGAGTCAATTGGAACTTACTGAAATAATTTTCAAAGATTAGATACTTCTATAGCAAAGTTTCTGAGACCTTGCTATTTTTGAGGATTTTTCTTGGGTTGCTATCTTTAAACATTTTTTTTAGTCACTCTAGCTTATGACTAGTTACTCTAGCTTTATGAAGGTTTCTATGTCTCCAATCAAAATATGAAACAAGAAATATTATAGCTAATTGGAATGCCTTTTGGTAACAAAATGGCCTTTGGTGTTTTGGCCCTTGATGACTAGAATTATAAGACCTTTTTTCTGATCATTCCTTTAAAAGAAACCAAAAATCCTCTATTTTTAATATTGTTTCAATTAGTTGGTTATTTTTAATGAATTCAACAGTAATTAAAAATTTATAGATTATACTCAGATAATTAACATGAAATCTAAAACTGAGAAATACCTAGGTCAAAACACTTATGTTGAGGCAGCAATTTATCCTAGGGCTATCAACGTGATAGGTTGACTTGAGAACAGGTAATGGGGCTCCCTAACATGAGATACGGCAGGAATCAAATAAAATTTGGTAAGCGGTAACACGAATGTAACAAAACCCAATTACATTGCTTGATCAATCATGGATTCTTTTAAAGAAAGTTTAATTAATTTACTGCTATTCTAAACTGGAAAATAAAATACCATGTAACAAGTTTCAAACATCCAAAAAGTGTTCCTAATTGTGACTGAGACAAAATTCAGGAATTTCAGGCAATCAGGTTCGTTCAACAGACAATCTAGCAGAAGAGGGAAGATCAATATTATTAATTTATTAAGATGGAACTTTAATGTAGCCTCCTTTCGAGTGTAACAGAGAAGCTTCATCATATTCATGTTCTGTATCATATGAAAAAAAATAGTATTATATGTTAACACTGAAGCAGTCCAGGAAAAACTTGAAACTAACCATAAATGTCCCAATGACATGGAGAAAAGAATACGGATATATAACAGAATTGAGAATTGACCACCATCTAGTGATAGCACCAGACCACTTACCTTGGGATATAGATACTGTTCCACTGATTTTTTCTCTCAGCTGACTACAGGCTTCAATTATTGCAGCTTTCTTACTAGTCACCTGGAGAAAAATTTAAACAAATTAAAAACCGCGTAACCCTAAATTCTAGTGAGACCTGAAAACATACATAAAGAATGGTGAAGATTCTGCTACAAGGACAACCACTAGGTCAATATATTGGCAGTCGATATAATTTCCTTCCCATTCTATTAATATTTTGGCAAATGTAGATATTGCTGCAAAAGTAAGTGAAGAACTGTTGAAAAAGCAGAGGTAAGTAAGCTTTCAGAATCTCACCTCCTTAAAATCCAACTCTACATATAAATGTGGTGCATTACCCTCGTTCTGTGAAAGCATAATATAAAAGCATCAACTCAAAATGGGATGTTAATTGAAGCAAATTAGTAAAGTAGGCAAAGAAAGTCACAAAGAGACCACTTAACATGATTACAATAAACATAGATATAAAAAGATCAGTCTTCAACTCCAAACCTAAGAACTAGTAGGCATATGGTGGGAAAACAAGATATGAATATAATCCCCAAGGAGCAAAACAAGATATGAATATAATCCCCAAGGAGCAGCCCAGTTGGCAAGGGCTTGGGGTCTCTTGGTTATACTGGCTTAGGGGTCTTAAGTTTGAACCTTTTGGTAAGCTAATACCAAACACCCTTGATGTCTCCCAAGTCAAGACTTTGGGGTGGGTGCAGATGCCCAAGGGTACGGGGGAACAAAGCTCTGATTCTCAGTTATTAAAATAAAATCTATATATATATGCATGCATAGAGAGAAAGATCGATAATGGGTCTACGTTAAAGATGTTACAGCCCGTGTCCTAATTAAGTAGCTTGCCTGCAATTGGAAGTACATTGTGTCAAATCCAGCTCCAAGTGACAATATCTGCTTTTTCGTACGCTCCTCTGGATTACTTCCAACATTGAGGAATTGAAAGAGGAGCTTCCTCAAAGCAGCCCAACGGGCAAAATAACCTTAATAGCAACAACGTAGGGAGAATTACTACAAATCGAACAAACAAAAGTTCTAAACTAATGTCAAATCTAAGAGAAGCAACAAGATTGTACCTCGGTTAATAATTGGAGATCTCTTGACAGGTTTTCTTACGAAAAAGTGTATGTAATCGTCTTTCATGTATCCCCTTCTAACGCATGACCTATTTACCACAGAGGGGAAGCTAGTATTACATCCAAATGCAAAAATGTAAGAACCCTGGTTCATCTTACAACTCTGCTAAAGGATAGACCAGATTAACGGTTCAGAAGTAAATGATGGATCAACATCATCCAAACTCCAAAGCATCGTGAAAGTTATTTTGCAAGCGTAGAACTAAAATTAATTCTTGCATGATATCATCCCATTATGGCAAAGTGAAAATTTATTGCATCTAAGGTTAAGACGTCAACGAAATCCAAACTAAATAATCAAATCTCGTCGAGTAACAGAACAACCAGGGCAACGCAATCAATATCAAAAAATAATCAAATAATGAAAACCTAGAGCACCTGGACGGGCATTTTGAAGCATGGGAATTTGCAAATAACGCGTAAAGAAAGTGACAGAAAGATGGGGGTTTGCTCACAATTTACTGGCGGAAGCATCGTCGTTGGTGGCCTGCACTGCTGCTCTGTTGCTCTGTGAATCGGGAGCGGCCATCGCCATTTTCAAATTGCCAGAGAGCTTCGCCGCTAACGAAATAGAGACGAGTAAATTGGGGTGGGTACAAGTTAAAGTAGCCAACTCTTCATAAATCATCCATGATAAAGGAATGGAAACTTGAAGCCAAAGTTTTAAAGCTGTGACGCTATCAATTTTATGAAAAATGTTGGATGAAAATATCAAGATCTAAAATAAAATAAATCATAAAAGATAATTAAATTATCAACTAAGTACTTCTAAATAAGTTTAAAAAATTTATTCTTAGTATTATTTAAACGTTAGTGATATTTTGTTGATATATATATATATATATATATATATATATATATATATATATATATATATATATATATATATATATATATATATTACATTTGTCAACTTTTTTGCGATTCTATAGAAATATTGATCAATTTTTATGTCGATATCAAACTTATTGGAATATTGAAATGTCGACATGTTGAGGAAAATTCACTATGCTACTTGTCACTTTTTTTTTAGTTTAAATATGATAAAATCGAATAGAATATGTTGTTGTCGAATTATGATCACTTGAGTAGATAGTTAGAGACTGAGTTAGTGCAAGTGGGACCTGCAAAAGAAAATTAGATACTTTGATGCTCAAGTTAGTCTCAATTCGATCTATTAGTCTGAAGACAAATAATCACAGTCGTATACCTATGTATGGAGTTTATCTCTATATTCATGAGCGCTTGGGAGTTGGTTCCATGCATAATGCACTTTGCATGTCGCGTGATTTCCAGCATTATTTGTGTGTGAGGGTGAGTGGGGGGTTGCAAGGTGCTTGTTTTACCTCAATCTCTTACCTTCACTTATGTCGGACATGATAAGAGAGCTATAGTCACTATTACTATAGCAAGGTATAATACCTTGATAAGCATGCAACATTTCGTCTCTTGCTACATGGCACGTCATTTTACCCCACTTTACATTAGTCCCACTTTGGAAAGTTAGGGAACTGAATAGTGCAACTTTTCAAAGAATAGGTTAAACTTGGGATGTGAAATGACATGTCGTCATGAGTATGTAACGGGTATAGTGTATGACCTAGTTTATTGTATTTCCCTTTGCTTTATGATTATGTACAAGTGAGAGTTTGTTGGGCCCTAAACTCGTAGTTTGTAATTAATGTAAAAACAAATTTATATTCAATAAAGGTTTATTCAATCAATTTGTTATTAAATTTATAGCAATGCATTGACTAAATCCAATAAACTAAACATCCAAGGTTATTGTCATGTAACCGGGACAGTATATATACTGGGTATATATTTGATATACTCTCGATATACAAATGGATAATATCCCGGGAATAACCTAAACGGTCTATAGTATATGGATAAGGTTGGGTACCTTATCCTGGCAACACTATGGATACGACCCACTTTGTAAACGTTACAGACGACCCGATCCAGGTCGTTCGTGTGGAGATATGGGAGTGGGGGTATCTTATACAATGAGTTTGTATAAGACCGGACCACGAAATAATTAATTTTTAGCTGTAACACCGTTAACTAATAGATTAATATTTTAATAGGATGACCAGGTAACTCGATCTCAATCCTGTGTGAGTTATGGACTCCTGCCTGTTAGGGCTCGTCCTTTGATTTGTATGGGTGAAAGTGGCCCGAGTCGCCAACTCAATATGCCTACTATTTTGGGGACGAGACCGAGTGGGGAGCTGGGAACATAACTACACAAGATGAAATTCACTCCTTCCTGACTTTAGGGTAAGTAAATGAGTGTTCTCTTAAGTGCTGACTCCGGGATTTGAACAAGGGGCTCCACCCTCTCACTGGCCCGAGAGAGACTTCCAGTTATTGGTTGGACCATAACCGGGATGTTCACTAGAGGATCAACGATACTTAAGGTACAAGATGTAACACAGGGGCAAAACGGTAATTTGACCCGATTGTGGTTATGAACACTCGTGAAAGATTAACTTACCGTTAATTGTCAAAATCTGTGGACGCAAAATATTATACTGTGAGAAGAGTGCAGCTGTGGGTCTTTAGTGGAGTGACCGACAATTAACGAATGTTGATTAATTTGGTTAATGATTTTAATAAATTAATCTCGTATCGTTGGAGCTTCTGATCTGTAGGTTCATTAGGTCCCCTAGCTAGCTCGTAAATGATAGTTAAGAATATTTAGTCTTGAAAATAATTTGAATTGTTCAAATTGGTTAAAGAGAATTAAGATTAATTGTATGAGATGCAATTAATGTAATTTATGTTCATACATTATAATATAAAGTTAATTTTGAATTGGATTCAAAATTATGAGAGAGACGAATATTAGAATTTGATTCTAATATAGTTGATCAATATAAGTTTAATTTAATTAAGTTAATGGAATATGTTAATTTGATTTAATTTAATTTAATTAATATTTCTTTTTGTAATTAATTAAATTAGATTTAATTAAAAATGTTTTAATTAAATTACATAAAAAAAAGAAAGTGAGGTTCTTCCTCCCTTTGCCTTCTTCCTGATGTTCGGTTTAATGAGTTTCAGAACTTCTTGCAGTAAAACCGCTCTCTCGATCTCTCAATTTCCCTCTAAATTATAAGACGGCTCCCACAAACCGAGTTTTTAACTTCCTGAAGATAACAAGGAAGACTTTGTGGTGGTGTTGATGTCTACATTGAAGAGGTGTCTTCAAAGGTACATATCACTAACTTTTTTTTAGTCATGCTTATGTCTTTTCTTTGTTGTAATTCTAAAACATGTTCGAAGCACACGCGTTCGCGCGCTTCCGCTGCGGATTCGATCCCTTCAATTGGTAGCAGAGTCAGGTTCTACTTTCGATATTGTTTTAAATAACAAGGAAAAGAATGATGAGTGTTTCTATACTTTTGATGTATGTGGTTTGCAAATAGATGCTTTCAGTTTTTAGCATTAGATTTACAGTCTTTTTTCCGTTGATTCGATCAATGTAAAAGTTCGTTGTATTGGGCGTTCAATCATGTAAAACGATATTGTAAGTTCGTGTCGTTCGTGGCAAAGAGTTGATGTGAAAGAGTACCAGAGAAGTGAAGAAAAATCAGAGGAACCAGGCGGACAGTGCCTCGACACTAGGGGCGGCACCTAAGCACTGCCATAGCTGTAGAAATCTGAGAGCTCGGGCCTGCAGTAGTGGGGGCAGCGCCTCACTGGGTCCAGGAGCCTAGGCGTTGGGCTCGGGCACCGGGGTTTTAAATTTTTTTATAGGAATAAGAGTTATAGGAAGCCAAAAACCTATCTGTTTTGCTATTTAATTATTATGCATTTTGAATGTATACTTAATTAGTTGTATATGTTGCATAAAGTATTCCATATAGTTTAAAATCCCACCATAGGTTAAACATGTTCATGCATCATATTAGATAATAGTTATAATGTATGATAATATGATTTATTTTCATGATTGAATAATTTAAGTGTTGTATTAATTAGATGAAAATAAAGTTGTATTGAGCGTGCATTACTTTAGTAAATATAAATTTTATATTTATGCATGTCATTGATGCATGATTATAGTTTCAATTTCTTTAAATTTATAAGTGTTATAAGTTTGGTGAATAAAAATTAAAGTCTATAACCAGAATGACATGTAAACCCTAGGTCTTCAATAATTTTAAAGGGGTTTGAAATTGATTATATCCTAGGTTATATACTTTTTATTTTGGTTTTAAATAGGTTTAAAACGACGAAATAAAAGGTTAATATAAAATATTGCCTATAAGAGAACCATGTCTAAGGAAGATTCTGTCTAGGTTGAGGTACTTAAGCTGACCGTAAGGGAACACCTCTATTTGGGAATCGACTTGGGGGTTGAATTAGTCAATATTTTATAGCATGCAATAATGTGGTTAATTACTTAAAGTGTTGAATGAACTAAAACATTAAGTGTTAAACAAATCCAATATAAAAGTTATATTGGGCAAACTAATAAACTTAGATAATTTCATTTAGTCGGATTTTACTTAAGTAATAACCCTAAGTTGTAAAATACTAAGTGGGAGGATTACGTGTATATATAAAATATACCAAGTATATGAGATATATGTGCTATATATATATATATATATATATATATACATTCTTTCCCTCACATTCTCCGTATAAGTTCACACCGTGAATTTAATGCTCGACCTCGTGTCGCCCTAGGTGCGGCCTCCCTACGGAAGGTGTTTACATGGTTCAATACCAACGTCAATGGAGAAAGTATTTATAGTGAGTGGGAGAAGGACGTGTGACAACACATCTTGCAGTCTCCTCCATTGGTTTGCAACGTGAGGTTTCATACACGACCTGCGTGTCGTCCTAGAGCGACCACCCCTACGGAGTGTTTGTTGTATAGAATCAAAATCAGGGCGAACTCTAGAAATGGATAAGGTCTCTTAGGCTTTGCACCAATATTTGTCCTTCCCTACGACAGGCTTATTGAGGCGGACCTCTTAGGTCTGAAAATGGCGGGTCACACTTACGAGAAGTTGTTAAGTTTGTTAGTAACTCCTTGACCAAACAAACGATGACTAACTGTTATAGGAATAAGAGTTATTCTTGTGTAATATTTAGTTGAGAATGTCTCAATTCAATGAAGGAGTAGCTGACTGCCCCACRGTAGCTGTTGCTCTAAATCACTGAAGCATCGTCGCAAAAATAATCTTGATTGATAGGGTGCATTATTACTTTTTGCCAAAACTGATTGGGTTTTTAATGGGTAGTGCAAGTATCTAATATAAATTTGTCTGTATTTCAGCATATCTAAAAGTATTGCCCTGCTTGCCGCCAAAAAACTTAACGGCGGAAATTACACACAATGGAAAACGACCCTTAACATGATACTCGTGGTAGATGATCTTAGATTCGTTTTAACTGAGGAGTGTCCTCAGGCTCCCACGCCTAATGCAGCCCAAGCCAGTCGAGATGCCTATGACAGATGGATCAAGGCCAATGATAAGGCCAAGGTCTACATCTTGGCAAGCATATCTGATGTGTGACCAAGAAGTATGAGAGCATGGTCACCGCAAGGGAGATCATTGACTCATTGCAGGACATGTTTGGACAATTGTCCATTCAAGCCCGATATGATGCCCTAAAG